CTGCAAAAATATTGCATATAATTGCATATAATTGTATGAATAATTATTTATTATTTTTCGATATAAACATTTTTTTCTTGTTTTTTCTCTCGTGGAAAATATTTGTTAAAGAAGTTCGCAGAATCTAGGTATTTAAAACTGCAAAATTAATAAATAGGAAAAGACGAGGAAATAAGATGCTCGAGAAAGATAGTCTCGAAATAGAAGTTATGTATCATTAGATTCACAGATTCCAGGACAGGAATCACAGCGGCGTGTTTGCAGAAAAATCGCGAGATAAGGATAAAAAGTTCCCCGTTCTTTTTCTCGTCGGACATGCACTCTTTGGGTCATATATGGTGTAATTTCGCGGTAAATAAATTGCTATCGAACGACGAGGAAAGAACTGGCTCCCGGTGATGTTCGCATCGTAATTTCCAACATTCGTAATTCTCAATTCTCTCGGAAATGCTTTCGAAAAATAGTCGCAAAGTGCGGATATAATAATTGTTCCCTATGCTATATCTTCATCATTACGTGAAATTGCGTCCGCACATGTACGAAATTACATGTAATGATGAAGATAGGGAACAATTATCTGGACTTTGCGACTATTTTTGAAAAGCGTTTCCGAGAGAATTGGGAATTTCCGAAATTCGATTCTAAAAAACCCACGGATCTTATGATTCGACATACGATACTTACAATTAGTCTCAGTAAACAAATTATATAAATTATAAAAATTATTATTATAATTATAATATAATTATAAATATAATTATATATATATATATAATTTGAATAATTATATATATAATATGAATATATGAAAAATTCTAATTATAATTTATATGAATTATTTATGAATAAAATTTTATGTATTAATTTGTACGTATCCAAAAAATTAGAACTAATTATAATAATTATAGTATTAATTATATAATAAGTTTGATTATCAACGAGAGATTTGAAAAATATAATATAAAAATATTCTGTCGTCTATCGCTATTCGGAACATTAAAATATCATCTCAAGAGCTGATTTCTCTGCCCCAGACTAAGAGAATGTAATTGATTTAGTGGACAGCAATGTGCGACGATGAGGACGCAATTAAAGGTAATCAACGAATCGATCCTAAATCGATCAACAAGTGGCGATAGCTGAATGAGTGTTTATCATTCCGATTCGCTGTTTTGCTGTTAAATTTCGTTTATTTTCGAAACAGAACGCAAGCTACTATTAATGATGATAGTCGTTAATAACAGTCGCAACGTTCAGCTAAAATGATTCTAAAATAGTAAAAAAAGATATAATCCTATATTTCGGCTAATTTGTGCTGCCAACACATTGCGATCTTATGTAGAACACGATATTATTAACTGTTGGACACACACGCGATGTCGTTATATAATTCAAACAGGTTCCAGAAGATCACACTACGTTGGATTTCTAAGAAGTCATCGATAATATCATTTTTTACAGAAAAAAATAATCGATGTATCTTAGTTTTTTTATAAAAGACAAGATTGAATACATTAGCTGTTATATGAAAATTATGAATTATTACACAAATATTTTTAAAAATTATTACAATTATATTCAATTCAAGATATATGATTTAAAGTATCTCAATTTCAAACTATTTATATTTTTTAAATGTGTATAATTAATATATTAATTTATAGTAATGTGATAATAATACTGACTTATGTGTGTATATATATGATATAGATTATAGATTGATATATTGATAATATTATTCTAATTTTTTTTTATAATATTATGCTGTATAATAAATAATAATGATTCACTATTTGATATTTACAGAAAAACCACATCATAATCATATCTCAACACCCAAGGAATTGCATCAGTGATTTATGTCAGCGCTGTCATCCATTAAAGTCTGTTTGAAAAACAGAATTATGTTAATTCCAATTTTATTTCATCGTAATTTTCCAAATTGTAAATGTTTTCTAAATTGTTGCAAATTAATAACTCTATGATATTTTGTGTTATTTTTTTTTTTTAAAGAAAACAATTTCTTATTTCGCAGTATTTTGGAATAATATATGTTTCATCAAATTCTATAAGTATGATATGTGTTTCGAAAATTATTTCATCGATAGATGTAAGTAATAACTAACATGTAGTAATAACTAACAAGTCTAATGTGGTCAAGCTGACGTAAAATCTCTCTCCCTCTTTTTTACTGTCATTCCTCCTTTCCCACATCATTATTCTTCATTCATTATTTGTCATTGTCACCCTGTCGCTCGTTGGTGAATGAACGCAAGCAATTGAACAGGCTCGACGCAAGACTGACGTAAGTCCATAATTCACAATTTATAAGATTCACATTGAATAATTCGACCTTTTGATTGCAGTCTCATTTTGTTCTTTATTTTTAGAATTATTCGGTTGCATGCAACATACATTATAGAAGAATTTCGAGCATATCGGAGCATATCATTGACATCTGCGCAGAAATGATTCAAATTCATTACAATTCAAAGTTAGTATATAATATAAAAGATTAGAAAAAATTCAAACGGACTATGAATCATTTTTAATAAATTTTAATTTTTCACTTTATCGTGCTATTCGTTCGAAATTGACGACACGACAGAGAATGATCTGTATGTATCCGTATTTCATATAAATGTATAAATAAATGGTTCAATTTTATAGATGTGTGTGTATAGGTATACGTGCGCACACTTTATTCTCTCGTACGTTAAAGGATGAATGCTTCGTAATTCTTTTGATATTGCGAGGATATATCGTATTATATTAGGATCACCCCGGGGTATCACCAGATGCGAGCGATAGTAAATAATCGTTTAGCTAAAAGTAACAGAAAATGAAAACTGAGCTCTTTTAATAATATATATATATATATATATATATATATATATATATTATTAATATATAAAAAATATATAATAAAATATATAATATATAATAAAATTAATATATAAAATAATAAATCCAATACAATTAATTTATAATTATCCCCTGACAAATAAATAAATAAATAAATAAATAAATAAATATATATATATATTTATTTATTTATTTATTTATTTATTTGTCAGGGGATAAATTAATTTGATTGGATTTATTATTTTATATATTAATTTTATCACCCTTATAAATATCTCTAAAAATAAATTAATGTAATTGATATTACATATATTAATACCCGCAAGTCAATTACATATAAAATCGTTTCTAAATAAATTCTGAATTATACACATCAGTCTAATCCTTCCTTTCTTTAAAAAAGGCATATTAACTGAATGAATTTAATTTTAATCAAAGTATCGAGGTCTCTTTTCCGCGATGCTGGTTGGTTGTACCAAAGTTTGCTTCGCGGTTTGAATCACAACCAAATCGTTTGACAGTTTTATAGTTTGTGGTTAAACTTAACATTATTTTAATTTACCGAGTTCCTATTATGCACATAATTTTATGTTTATGCACTGGAAAAAAAATTTTGTTGGATTAACAAAAATTCTGTTTGAAAATGAACGAAACGGAATTACTAGTTAAATCTACCAGAATTCCTTTTAATGCAACAAGAATCTACCAGAATTCCTTTTAATGTAACAAGCATCTTGTTTGTACAACAAATCACTTTGTTGGTGCAAACAAGATATTTGTTGTATTGAAAGGAATTCTGGTAGATTCAACCAGAATTCCGTTTCGTCCATTTTCGAACAAAATTTTTGTTAATCCAACAAAATTTTTTTTTGTTAAATCTACCAGAATTCCTTTTAATGCAACAAGAATCTACCAGAATTCCTTTTAATGTAACAAGCATCTTGTTTGTACAACAAATCACTTTGTTGGTGCAAACAAGATATTTGTTGTATTGAAAGGAATTCTGGTAGATTCAACCAGAATTCCGTTTCGTCCATTTTCGAACAAAATTTTTGTTAATCCAACAAAATTTTTTTTTGTTAAATCTACCAGAATTCCTTTTAATGCAACAAGAATCTACCAGAATTCCTTTTAATGTAACAAGCATCTTGTTTGTACAACAAATCACTTTGTTGGTGCAAACAAGATATTTGTTGTATTGAAAGGAATTCTGGTAGATTCAACCAGAATTCCGTTTCGTCCATTTTTGAACAGAATTTTTGTTAATCCAACAAAATTTTTTTTATTGAATCTACCAGAATTCCTTTTAATGCAACAAGAATCTACCAGAATTCCTTTTAATGTAACAAGCATCTTGTTTGTACAACAAATCACTTTGTTGGTGCAAACAAGATATTTGTTGTATTGAAAGGAATTCTGGTAGATTCAACCAGAATTCCGTTTCGTCCATTTTCGAACAGAATTTTTGTTAATCCAACAAAATTTTTTTTTGTTGAATCTACCAGAATTCCTTTTAATGCAACAAGAATCTACCAGAATTCCTTTTAATGTAACAAGCATCTTGTTTGTACAACAAATCACTTTGTTGGTGCAAACAAGATATTTGTTGTATTGAAAGGAATTCTGATAGATTCAACCAGAATTCCGTTTCGTCCATTTTCGAACAGAATTTTTGTTAATCCAACAAAATTTTTTTTTGTTGAATCTACCAGAATTCCTTTTAATGCAACAAGAATCTACCAGAATTCCTTTTAATGCAACAAGAATCTACCAGAATTCCTTTTAATGTAACAAGCATCTTGTTTGTACAACAAATCACTTTGTTGGTGCAAACAAGATATTTGTTGTATTGAAAGGAATTCTGGTAGATTCAACCAGAATTCCGTTTCGTTCATTTTCGAACAGAATTAATCCAACAAAATTTTTTTTTCAGTGTGTCATCGACTTTCTATTATGTATATAATTTTAATTCACCGAATTACTTTTGCATAAAAAATAAATAGATATGAAAGTAATGAATAATTTATCCTCGGCTTACGTACGATACGATCTACCTATATTCGTACGAAGTACTGGCGCGATCGCGGCACCTTTGCCGCGTGGCATCGACGGAAACGGCCGTTGATCGCCGAGCTAGCTAGCTCGCTCGCTCGTTCGTTCGCTCCGACCGCGGTAACCCTCAGTTGCATGTCGGATTTCGTGCCCGCGCGTTGTAGTTTCGACCCGGCTGCCTGGCTGGCTGTCTTTCGCACTCGGTGAAGACCGCTCTCGGTGAGTAAAACTTCTTCCTATCGATTCCTTTCGAAACCTCGACTCACCCTTGTTCATCCCTCGAACTTCAAATCCGCAAAGATCATCGGTCGAAGACGTGATCGTTTCCAGCGAATTATTATTTCGACAGGTGTCAATAAAAAAAAAAAAAGAGGTAACAGTTGTTGACTTCGTGACGAGTTCGTTCGATGATGAGTCGATTCAACTTTAGGAGAATGTAGAATGCGTGAAATAACAAAGCCGGTCGAATCGGAGTAACTTGTGTCGACGAACGACGGTACTCAAAGACAGCTGTCTTTAGAAATACAGTCAAGGCTACATACGAATAAGGGGATCTTATCTTTTTTCTATTCCAAATAATATCCTGAACAAGAGTTGCGACATTGAAGCTCAAAGCCGCAGAGAGGAAATTCGCGACGTTCGATCGTCTCTATTTTACGCGAAGAACACAATGACTCGATAGAGAGCGAGGGAGAAAAAAAATTCTAGTTATCGTTCGTATATTAGATTAACGATAATTTATCGGTGAGAATGATTCAGAACGTTTTACGTAACGCGCGTATATTTCTCCTTTATACTTATACATATACGTGGTGAGAATCGGAGCGGGAACGAGGAAAAATATTGCCGGACGAATTTTTGTTTTCAACGACCGGCTCTCTCTAATCTAGTCCGTGATTAGCGGAGTGGAACGATAAAAAAAGGAGGAGAACCAGGTGCAGTGCAAATGCGAATGCAAAAGCGAGAGAATTAGTGTGTGAACCTGCGTAAACGTCTAGTAAATTTATCCGGTAATCGAGAAGAGGGAAGAAAAGGGAAAAAAATTGCGCTCTCAGGATATGGCGAAATATCGCGAGCTTTCGCAAAAACAGAGAGGCCGCGTAATTATTATACTCGGTGCGTGCATTACGTTTTTTTTTTTTTACCTTCCGATGCGTTCCCTTCTCTCTTCCGCAAGAGCGAGAGAAAGCGATCGCGATTTCGGATCATTCTACGATAACGATAACGCGATTGATAACGATTAGGACGCGCGAAAGAGTTCTCCTTCTATAGAGAGATAAGAGTTCCAGATGTAAAAAAATCGGAGTACAAATGTGACCCATCATTCGGGTGTCTGAAAAATTAATATCCGAATTTGTATCATTTTTGATACATTATTATTATTGTGATTTTATAAATTTTTGACATATCGAAAGTGGTTCCCTATTATACTTATAATATTTCTTATTGACAGCTATAGTGTTTGCTGTTATCTAAATAAAATTATATAGATAATCATCTAGATGTTTTGGTGCCATCTTATCATTATATAGATAATAAAAATATGTATTATCTCTATCTGAATCTTAGATGAAAAAAGTGTTATTTTTACTCAATTATCTAGAATAATGTTCAGATAATTTGGTTTAGTCACAGCACATAAAAATAATTAAGTAGTAGAACTTAACCAGTAAGCGATAAAAATTATAAGTAAAAATATGAATATATATTTTTTAATGCCTTTTATAATTTACATCTTTGTAATAACTGTGTTTATATAAGCGGTCTTAAAAATAATATTATCTGGAAATTATCTAGCAGATAAATCGCATATAATTTTAACTTTTATCTAAAAATATTTAAAAGAAAATCATCTTTATCTTATCTAAAATAAATTTACATATTTTCATCTCATCTTTATCTAGCTATTTTTAAGTCTGCTTGTCGAGATTACGATGCCTAGCGTCATATAAAATTCTTCTCAACCAAGTTTGATCGTTGACATTATATTAATTGCGTGCTCTCCTTAATCGGGGATACTTAAACCAATTTCATAATTCCTCGGAATTCTTCTCGTCAGACGCTCGAGAAGACATTTATTATCCCACTTTATACGTAAAAATATTAATTTCACATCTCAAAGAAGTTCGATTCAACACACGATCGAACTTTTATATACCCACATCTTGCAGCGCGATTGATTAATTCGAAGAATGACATTGAGTATTAATTAATGTTAATTTCGCGACCTTCTGTGTGCAACCTGCAACAAAAGTGCACATGGACGAAAACAATACGCTATTATGTTTCGCTATTTACTCGCTTCGCTTCGCGACACGTGCGAAAGTCATCAAGAAATCGGAGATGTTTTACATTAGACGTTTCTCTCGTCTCTTTAGCGAAAGTTAAAACGGCGAAAGCGAGTTCGAAGACAGAGAGGATCGAGATTAAGAACCCTCTCCATGCGTTTGTCCGCCCGCGAAAAAAAAAGCGTCTCGCTTTTTTCGTGGGTCAGCCGAGCGTTTGACGTATGACGTATGACAGACACGCGCGTTACGCAACCGCGGGAAGCGAGAAGAGAATCGCGCTCCGATCCTTTTATACACGTTACAGGTAGGCGTGAGAGGCGAGGATACCCGTGACTCACCTCTCTCGATCCCGATCGTGTACTTGAACGTGAATCGTCGACCACTTCCGATACCGGTTTTCTATATTCAGAGCGAATCGTGGGCGAAAAATTTGCATTCGTGATTTTACGTCGAGAATTATTCTTCTTTTTTTTGTCGCGCGAAATAATGCGTTATTAATAAGACAAAATTTGTTGAATTAGGTAAATAAATGGAAAATTAATTGCAACGATAGTAACAATTAATTTTTCTCAGAAAAAAATTCGCAATTACGTTATTAGCTTTGTTTTTAAAAATATATAAAAGGATATAGACTGCATTTACATATCTCATTGGCAGTGACAATTAATACACTCGTTTTCTCGTAGGCAAAAAATTTGCATTAATGATTTTCCGTTAAGAATCCTTTTTTTTTGTTGCGCGAAATAATGCGTTATTAATAAGACAAAATTTGTTGAATTAGGTAAATAAATGGAAAATTAATTGCAACGATAATAACAATTCATTTTTCTCGTAGACAACAAATTCGCAATCACGCTATTATAGCTTTGTTTTTAAAATTATATAAAAGGATATAGACTGCATTTACATATCTCATTGGCAGTGACAATTAATATACTTGTTTTTTCGTGGGCAAAAACTTGCATTAATGATTTTCCGTTGAGAATCGTTTTTTTTTTGTCGTGCAAAGTAATACGTTATTAATAAAACAAAATTTGTTGAATTAGGTAAATAATAAATTGAGTAAATAAATATGAAATTAATTTGAATTAATGAGAATATTTAAGGGATGATGATTAATGCACATTGTAAATAGCACATTTACATATGGCAATGATAGTGACAATATGTAATTTTTCTCGTGGGTAGTTCAGATTAGTTTTTTAATTGTTCGAAATAATACATTGTTAATGAGAACAAAAATGCGTATTAATTCAGAGAGAACCTTCTCTTAGAATTTACCCTGAAAATTATGATAATAGTGGAACAATATGATATTGGAAGAATTTTATAAGAGTTTCTCTGATTAATATTTATTACGATAAAAAATATTAATAATCTATAATAAGATATAAAATATGTTCAATTAATTTTACTATGTACATATTAATATTTTTGTGATAAACATTTAATCAGAGAAATTTTTATATAATTCTTCCAATATTGTTCTACGATTACCATGATTTTCAGGGTAAATTCTATAAGAGAAAACTCTCTTCGTGTATCGTAAATATACTGTTTATACAAATGAGTATTTTAATTATGATCTCCCAAATATATTCTCATTGATATAATTTATTTGATATTTTTTAAATGAAAAAATACATATGAATTGTCACTTTTTAGTGTTTTAAACACAAAGATACCGCGCGAAATAACATAAAATAAAATTAATAATTAATGTCTTCGGAATTATCTCGTAAAATTGACCGAGCATTGTTCTGCGTAATATATCGGATTAGATTGAAATGAGGTGCAAAATATGCGCAGCTGGATTAATCAGTGCAAAATGTCGAGCGGAACTTGATGCAAATGGGATAGACGGCGGGACCGAAAGCTCGACCCACTGCACTCGATTTAATCACCAAGTGTTCTCGATGACAGCCATGGTGCGAAGGTTGTTCCAATTAATGTTAAACGATGTAAAACGTGTCGAAATATATCGACACGAGCAATCTCTGTCTCGCGTGAATGATGAATTTATTATAATTAAATCGCGTTCGCCGAAACTGACACATTCATATTTATATTAATAATTTTTGCTCGATAAGAAAAAAACTTATCGTTCAAAAATGCATATTCTCAAGAATATTTAAACATTCTTTTACATAAAAAATAAATATTACTATATATGAATTAAATAATATTAATTATATATTAATATTAAATAATATTATTATATTATAAATATTATTCCTACAACAAACGCAGAATTTTTAATAACATAATTTAACGAACCGATAAATTTGCAAAAAAAAAATACGATCTAAATTCAAGGATGACGTTTCTCTTTCTCTCATCTGGTTAGGAAACTTTGGACACTTTGGTTTCGATTTGCTAAGAAAATATTAAAGATACGACCGATATAGTATCATACCTATCGATATAGTACTCTATCGAAAAACCGGGTCACGACAAAATTCACGGATGACGTTTGTTTTTTTTTCGTGTATTTTGGCCACGATAGGGGGAAATTTGTTGCGCGCTCACGCGTGTCTCCCCGTTCTTGTTCTGTATGCCGGTCCCACCTGCCGTTTCCTGCTTCCTCTCGTATCCCTTTCATTCCCTTCCGACGAATTAGGGAGGCGCGACGCACCTCTGCACGCAAAGTGCATTCGACATTGAAAAAAAGCACTGTCGGTCGACTATCTTTATTTAGAGTCCTAGATAACAGAGATGCGATTCTCATGGTGTCGACATTTTGGTTCCTTTATAGGTTCTTAGGAAGACGAGACGCTAAAGGTAAATGTTAAGTCTCTAGGAAAAGAAGAAGGTATTTCTTATACATAAAATATATTATTAAAAAAAGATTCACAGAAAAATTCAATATAGCTTTGAAGAAAGTTTTTCAAGTTACGTTAGGTTAAATTCAATACTCTACTAAATATTTAG